ACAGTGTCTGCACAGTGTCTACACAGTGTCCACACAGTGTCTGCACAGTGTCTACACAGTGTCTACACAGTGTCTACACAGTGTCTACACAGTGTCTACAGTGTTTACACAGTGTCTACAGTGTCTACACAGTGTCCGCACAGTGTCTACACAGTGTCTACAGTGTCTACAGTGTCTACACAGTGTCTACACAGTGTCTGCACTTTGTCTACACAGTGTCTACACAGTGTCTACACAGTGTCTACACAGTGTCTACACAGTGTCTACACAGTGTCCGCACAGTGTCTACACAGTGTCTACACAGTGTCTGCACAGTGTCTACACAGTGTCTACACAGTGTCCCCACAGTGTCTACACAGTGTCTACACAGTGTCCACACAGTGTCTACACAGTGTCCCCACAGTGTCTACACAGTATCTACACAGTGTCCCCACAGTGTCTACACAGTATCTACACAGTGTCCCCACAGTGTCTACACAGTGTCTACACAGTGTCTACACAGTATCTACACAGTGTCTACACAGTGTCTGCACAGTGTCTACACAGTGTCTGCACAGTGTCTACACAGTGTCCGCACAGTGTCTACACAGTATCTACACAGTGTCCACACAGTGTCTACACAGTATCTACACAGTGTCCCCACAGTGTCTACACAGTGTCTACACAGTGTCTACACAGTGTCTACACAGTGTCCGCACAGTGTCCCCACAGTGTCCCCACAGTGTCTACACAGTGTCTGCACAGTGTCTACACAGTGTCTGCACAGTGTCTACACAGTGTCTGCACTTTGTCTACACAGTGTCTACACAGTGTCTACACAGTGTCTACACAGTGTCTACACAGTGTCTACACAGTGTCCGCACAGTGTCTACACAGTGTCTACACAGTGTCTACACAGTGTCTACACAGTGTCTACACAGTGTCTACACAGTGTCCCCACAGTGTCTACACAGTGTCTACACAGTGTCCACACAGTGTCTACAGTGTCCCCACAGTGTCTACACAGTATCTACACAGTGTCCGCACAGTGTCCCCACAGTGTCCCCACAGTGTCTACACAGTGTCTGCACAGTGTCTACACAGTGTCTGCACAGTGTCTACACAGTGTCTGCACTTTGTCTACACAGTGTCTACACAGTGTCTACACAGTGTCTACACAGTGTCTACACAGTGTCTACACAGTGTCTACACAGTGTCTACACAGTGTCTACACAGTGTCCCCACAGTGTCTACACAGTGTCTACACAGTGTCCACACAGTGTCTACAGTGTCCCCACAGTGTCTACACAGTATCTACACAGTGTCCACACAGTGTCTACACAGTATCTACACAGTGTCCCCACAGTGTCTACACAGTGTCTACACAGTGTCTACACAGTGTCTACACAGTGTCTACACAGTGTCTACACAGTGTCTACACAGTGTCTACACAGTGTCTACACAGTGTCTACACAGTGTCTACACAGTGTCTACACAGTGTCTACACAGTGTCTACACAGTGTCTGCACAGTGTCTACACAGTGTCTACACAGTGTCCCCACAGTGTCTACACAGTGTCTACACAGTGTCTACACAGTGTCTACACAGTGTCTACACAGTGTCTACACAGTGTCCCCACAGTGTCTACACAGTGTCCACACAGTGTCTACACAGTGTCCCCACAGTGTCCCCACAGTGTCCCCACAGTGTCTACACAGTGTCTACACAGTGTCTACACAGTGTCTACACAGTGTCTACACAGTGTCCCCACAGTGTCTACACAGTGTCTACACAGTGTCCACACAGTGTCTACACAGTGTCCCCACAGTGTCTACACAGTATCTACACAGTGTCCACACAGTGTCTACACAGTATCTACACAGTGTCCCCACAGTGTCTACACAGTGTCTACACAGTGTCTACACAGTGTCTGCACAGTGTCTGCACAGTGTCTACACAGTGTCTGCACAGTGTCTACACAGTGTCCGCACAGTGTCTACACAGTGTCCACACAGTGTCCCCACAGTGTCCACACAGTGTCTACACAGTGTCTGCACAGTGTCTACACAGTGTCTGCACAGTGTCTGCACAGTGTCCGCACAGTGTCCACACAGTGTCCCCACAGTGTCTACACAGTGTCCCCACAGTGTCTACACAGTGTCCCCACAGTGTCTACACAGTGTCTACACAGTGTCCCCACAGTGTCTACACAGTGTCCCCACAGTGTCTACACAGTGTCCCCACAGTGTCTACACAGTGTCCCCACAGTGTCTACACAGTGTCCCCACAGTGTCTACACAGTGTCCCCACAGTGTCTACACAGTGTCCCCACAGTGTCTACACAGTGTCCCCACAGTGTCTACACAGTGTCCCCACAGTGTCTACACAGTGTCCCCACAGTGTCTACACAGTGTCCCCACAGTGTCTACACAGTGTCCCCACAGTGTCCACAGTGTCCCCACAGTGTCCACACAGTGTCCTCACAGTGTCCCCACACAGTGTCCTCACAGTGTCCCCACAGTGTCTACACAGTGTCCCCACAGTGTCTACACAGTGTCTACACAGTGTCCACACAGTGTCCACACAGTGTCTACACATGATTTCAATGTTCTGTAATTTTTATGTTCTCTACCTTTACCCAATGGAAACACATCACATCTCTACTTTGGTCTCCGATTGTCTGAATGTTTTTTAAGTTTATCATAATTGTTAATATCATTCAGTTTGTGCTTTTATAGAAAAAACAATTATGCCACGGCTGCCGTCTTGTTTGTACACTCAGAGATTACACATAGATTGTTACATATGGACACTGTTAAGGCTCAAAATTAGATACAGTGAAAGACTAGTACATTTCTACTTGCCTTCACTTTACCGCGTAGTATTTATATAAAACTAATGATTCTGCCATCCACTGCTCGGATGTGACCCGGACTGTGCTGGGGTCAGCCTGAGTGGACCTGACGAATGTAGCTCTAACTGCTGCGAGGTCAGGTTCACATTCAGAAAGCGCTAACCCAGGCCTTGTGCACGAACGCAATACACAGTCTATCCACATTACTTCTGATCACAGGCTGCCTCTGGGGGCTTGCTCTTCTCCCTCTCCTCACTTTGTTTACCGCGTACAGCTTGATTTATGTCGGCCGATGCTTGCCAGTGCTTGCTGGGCGGCGTGGGCGCAATGTAGCCTCTGAAAAGAAAGTGAGCAGAAGGGAAGAGAAAGGGCAAACCGCACTGATGGATCCGGAGAGTGGGAGCGGAGGGAAGAGCGGTAATGGTTTGGGAGGAGACAGTGAGGAGGTGTCGGAGCAGCCTCAGGTGTCACAATTGCGTTGGTGTCTTTTAGAAAACACTTCGCGGAGCACAAGGTCTCCCACCACCTCTAGCATGGTCAAACTTGAGCCTTGTCATTTTGTAATATCCATATATGCCAGATTGAATCACTGACAGTGTGTGACTGAATATAACAGCAGAGCTACTGGACAGAAACAGAGATGCTGCTCCAGCAAAATGATTTATGAAGATACACACCTATACCTAGCTTACCCTTACCCATTTGTAAAGTCTGGTCAATTATCATGTCCTACATCCTAGGACATCCTCTGTTGTATCCCCTCTGACCATTCAGAGAGCGGGGGAGGCGGGTGTTGTTGGCAGGTGTCGGTGACGTCAAGAGTTTGCGCCAAATTTGCTGGTTGTAGTTTGGCAATGACGCTGAATGCGATAGTAAAGTTATCCTCTCTGGTTTGGCTCCAAATATCAAGAAACTGAAGTTGGAGCAAAAGGAATGTTTAGCAAATGTCATTGCTGCAAAGATGTTGTGGCTCTACTCCCCACGGGCTCCATTAGTGGCAAAGGAGATGGCTAAAGCTAGGCTACATGCTATAGCTAGGCTGAACGCTAAATGCTAGCGACTCACTCAGGCGCATTACATACGTCCTGGCAAACTCTGATTCAATCGTTTCAATCTGCAAAATGAGTTAACCCCTCTCACCTGTTAGGGTTTGAGCAATTCCAGATCTTAGTATGAAATGAAATTAATATGGTGGTATGATAAGACCAGGCTAAGTTGGGGGGTGAAATCCTACAATTTTAGCAGGTCCCTTGAGACAACCCGCACCTGCATCCCCCGGTACAAACACACAATGATTAAGAGATTAACAATAGTAGAATAGCTGAACAATTGTATAGAGTTAGAAAACTAAAGCACCACTGTGTGGATGAAAACACTGCAACAAGCGCTGATTCACCCGTCATAAAAGAACCACTGCTAGAATTGCTTTGACTAAAATGTCTGTTATCAGTGAAACTCTGAGCTGCTCTGTGCTATTTTAACTTTAAAACATCACAACTAATTACTGCAACAACCAAAGAGAAAGAACAATCATTGACCTGTCACAAAGACACAGCGATATTCTGTGTGTTCTACGATATGTTCACTGTAAAACATTGTTATTCATTTAACCATATTTAATTCAATCATTTGAGCAGAAACTATGCATTCAAGTACACACAATATTTACATTCCTTTGCTGCCTACTGTTAATAAACATACATGTAAAATCAAGCAAAGGTTCTTGCCATAGTTTCACCAGTTCTCAATATATTTAGTATATTATCATTTCATAATGTTATTTTTACTGTCTATAAAACATGACCCAGAGAAGAGATGCTATTTTTCTGTTCACAAGACGGTACGATTTGTTGTTGTATTGATTTAATTCAAATTTGCCTTCAGGCGTTCGTGGACATTGTCAATTTATGGTTGAAAATTGCCTTTGTCATTATTTATTGTTCTGGTCACCAAAGGTTATTAGATGCTCTGACAGGCATTCGATTCCCAAGAGAGCGAAATGCGTTTTGAAAAGAAGCCAAGGGCATTGCAATATTCTGGCACCATACGGCAGCCGTAAAGCTCACAACTGTATTCACTACACACCCACACTTTTCACGTGACATTAAAGTTTAGCCATAAAATAAAGAAGATAAAACTGATGATGTATTTTGTTTCTGTCTTGCAGCCGGTCAGTTGAGCCAGTCTGCGTACTCCGCCCTCCAGCTTCCCTACACTGTTCTGGGCCTTGGACGCAGCGCTAACTTCCTGGACCATCTTTTCGTGGGCATCCCTCGGCAGCCTGGAGAAATGGTGAGTCTGTTTCCCTTGGAGCATTCATGTGGGAACGCTCCAGGCTGATGTTCCTCCTCTGGAACATCCCGTCTTGTGTTTGTTTAGTTCTTTTTCCATCATTTTGGCACATCCCAACAGCTTCTTATAATAGATTTTTTTCAATGTATCTGTTGCTCTGTGTGTACTCTTATGTGTGATTTCACGCCTGGCAACAACCACGAAATGAAAACATGTTGCAATATACCGTCAACTGCATTCGCAAGTATGATCCCGTCAGATTTCAGGAGCTAAGCAGGGTTTGGGCTGTGATGGGAGACTTCTGTGAACACCAGGTACAGCAGTGAGGAGGTTGCGGTTGTTATCTGCCAAAGTGTTATGTCCTTAGGAAAGACACTTTACCGACATGTCTTAGTGGGTCTGGTGTGGGTTTGCGTGATTGGTGGTCGTACCGCATGCCACGGGGGAAATGGTGGTTGTGCCTCGCTCACTCACTCACACATGCGCGTTCCTTGAATTATAAATAATATAAGTCGGATTTGCATAATAAATCACCCTTTCACTTTCTTCCATGGAAAATGTTGACTCAGCACTGATTTTTGTCTCAGTATCTGCGGCACAGGATCTTGATCAAGCCGTTATAGTTGTGTTATTTGTTTGTGGTGAAAGACATTTTTTTCACTCTCCACTGAATTAACTAGAAAATTATTAGGCAAAAAAATTACAATTCAATAGATTCAGATTCAGATTCATTTTATTAGCCATGCGTAGTATAAAAACTACATTGGAATACATTTGCAAAGAAAGGTACTCTGTGTGCACCGACAGAATAAAAAGCACGATACAATGTAATATAAAATACACATACACTGAATATAAAAGAATAAAAAAGCAGCTGACACTGTGGCACCGATCAACAAAACGATACAAGGGGTAAAAGCAGGAATTAAAGTGCTCTGTTTAGGCACCTGACAGTCTGTGGAAAGAAGCTGTTAGCATAGCCAGATGTCCTGCATCTCAGCGACCGATATCTTCTGCCAGAGGGAAGAAGAGGGAAGAAGGGAAGAATAAAAGACAATTCGCAGGATATTTGACCCAAATTTACTTTGCATTGGTGTCCTCCACTGTAAATTACAGCTTCAGTATTCTCCCGTCATATGCTGCGTACCACGACTCATTTCTTTATTAATACCCTGTAATAAATAATGTATAATAAAGCCCTAATCTACTCAGCCTGCTTCCCTCTTCCAGCTCTGTTTTTCTTCTGCTCATCATCTTTATGCCGGTGTCGCACTGTACACTTGTCACACTCAATATTAGCCATGGTTCTGCTTTTTTCCCCAGTCCCGTGTGGCGCCGGGGTCCTCGTCAAACAGCTGATTAGACTTGCAAATGTCCACGTCCGCGGCTCAGAGGCCACAGGGCACTGAGTCACTTTGTTGTTGTGGCTCCCTTTCACACGTGGCTTTTCCTATATGTGATAACTAGGGTTTTATCAAGGGAAATCCACAGTCAATTGAGACGTGGCTGTTATGCTGTGCAGGTTCTGTTTTTCAAGCAAAGAAGACTGAAGGATTGCTTTTGCTTCCCTGTATTCTACTTTTAATGAGGAGGACGAGGAGATCTTTCCAAACTAATACAAAGCTTCTGGTCGTTGTGATCGTCACCCTGCTCCATGGATATTTTTGCGCTTATTTTGTTTTGGGGTAACTTTAGTCATTATCCATCGGCTGCTGCACCCTTTCATACTGAATTCCCACCTGCATTGTAAAAAGCGTCCCTGCTGAGCCACGAGGAGTTGTTTTGATGAGTATCTAACTTCCGTCTTCTGTCCAGCGTTCATCTCCTCCTGCTTCATATGTGCGGCCGTCTCCTCCTCACTTATGCTGCACCCAGGGGACCCTCTTGGCTGCTAAGAGTGGTTTACTTCACTAGTCAGTCTCTCAGCTTCATCCCCCATCTCTGGATGTGTCTCTGTGGTGCCCTCATAGTGTGCCAGCTTTTCCCAGGCTTTGAACCCCGCCATCTTTCCTCTGAAGACTTGGGAGCACTTTACTCTTCTAAACAGCCAGATCGGATCTGCTCCCAGGCACCAGTCGTCTCCAGCTCTTTTCCCCCGCCAGTCGTGGCATCAATGGCGATGCTTTCCAAGAGCGAAGCGACAATGGCTGCCGGCGAGGATGTGCTTGTTATGTTAAAAGAAGCACGGTTGTTGCATGGTTTTACAGAATAGCTGCAAGATCCGGTTCCACTCCAACCAGGAAGATCGACGCCACAATTATACAACTGTGACACTTGCTGGATCCAAATGTGAAACTGTGTTAATTTCAGACTACTAATGTGTCAGCTTTACATGTATACATACAGTACATACAACTTGGCACAATTGTATTCAAAATGCTAGTCCTGCAATTGTACATTTCCTTAACCCTTGTGCTACCCTCAGGTCAAAATCACCCACCAGTCATTAAAAGACCAAGAAAAATACCGCAAATCAGTGTCTAAAAGGGTGACAATTACCCAGGGCTGGTCAATCATTCAAAAATATTTAGTTTTTTTTTTAAATCACTGCTAAATAATATTTACTACACGAGCTGAGTGGTCAACACTAACTGTTTTGGAGAGTCACACTGAGAAAGCAAAGAGAAGGAGCAAGCCACAAAATAACGCCAGTATTTTGCAGAAAGAAACATCTCTTTTTTCATACCACTTATTTATTTCTCAAACCCTAACTTTCATCTTAGTCCTTAATTGTTAAAGTGATAGTCTGTAACTCTAAATTAATTACAAATTTTAGGAAATGTGTTAAATTGACCTCCTGGCCTTAAATGTTGATATAAAATAAGTCATTTTATTCATTCTAATATTACGGGTAAGTCCCGCCTTCCCTGCTCTTAGCTATAGTTCAGAATCCACTATGCCGTCGAGGTTAACCAATCGAGTCATGCCAAGGGCTGTCAATCATCGGCGCTGATGCTGCAGCTGCTCATGTTCAGTTGTTTGTTTTCGCGGAGCCTCTATTAGGCTCTGGAACTACATGAAAACTGAACAAAGAATTCTGAACATCCGCGCTGAGGTACTTATGTATATTCTGAACCTATATCCATAATCATTTATATATGAACCTATATCCATAATCATTTATATATAAACCTATATCCATAATCATTTATATATGAACCTATATCCATAATCATTTATATACTGAACCTATATCCATAATCATTTATATACTGAACCTATATCCATAATCATTTATATATGAACCTATATCCATAATCAGATCCTCTGCAGATGTGTCCTATAATGTGCAATTCATAATAATAGCACTTCCTGGTTTGCCGCGATCGCTTTTTTTGTGCATAAAAACATTATTTTTTTCATTAAAACGTTCACAAATAATTCTGAAAACCTCCGTGCATGTGTATTAATAATGTATATGTGTTAATGTGTTCTCTGATTAACATTTCAAAGTGTTACGGAAACGTAGGTGTAGACCAATCAGAAAGGAAGGGGGAGGAGCTTGCGTCGTTTTTTTCAAATCAAGTACCTCTCTGTCTCTCTTTCTGACAAACTCCAGACAATCACTTTAAAGAACTGTTATGACAAATGTGTTTGTAATATTTGGATTTGAATCTTACTTTGCAGGGTCACCTCAGTCTTTAGTTCACAATGATTGGACCAATAATCAATTCAATTCACAACAGTATTTATCTCGGAAGGACTTAACAAAACCATTGAAATCGCCAACACAGATCAGAGAATCAAACACAAGAAATGAAACAGAAAACACATTGTTATTGGTCCATAAGGGGCACAAGACCAATGTCCATAAGTGTCGAGTGTCCTGGATCCTCACCACTGTCCCTTTACTCAGACCTGGAGAAATCCCCATTGACAGTATTCAGGATTACATTTGTATTGTGTTATATATTTGCATTCCTGACACGTGGTGCTATTTTCAGAGAGGAACAGAAACCGCTACAATGTCTCGTTCATAAAAGTAGAAAAAAAACGTGCTTTCTTTCTGTAACTTTGTTTGTAATGATGGCAAACGCAAGAGGAGGAGAAGAGAGAGACAGAGGTGAGGCGTGTCTGTGAGAGGGAGACACTCTTACTCCGGCAAGAGCAAAACAGACACTAAACTTATGAAAACGCTCACTGAGAATCCCTGCTCCAGCTCAGAGAAAAACCAGGTCTGTTGAAGCTTTGAGACATGCAGAAGACAAACAAATGGGCCTAATCATTGTACTTGTGTAAGCAGTGATTGCGCGCCTCTCTGCATGATTGTGTGGTGTGCGTGTGCTTTGTATGTGTCAGTTCACATTCAGGTTGTGCTTCCAGAGAGCAGCGGCGCTTTGAGCTGGGAAGACAAGTCCATTTATGAGATGCCAAAAGTCCATGTATATTTTAGCAAGACAGAGGCTGGGATTACAACACATTTTCCAGATGGCTAGATCATCTCACACACACACACACGCACACACACACCAGCACTTAATCACATGGATCCAGCACCATGTACGTTCACACACCCGAAGCAGACTCAACTGTGTTCACGCGGTTACTTCAGGACAGCCGTGGCAAGTTAGAAATGGCCTTAAAATGGACACTAGTCTGTGGGCATTAGTATAAAACAAATGCATGTTATTATTCAAATAAAAATCCATTTAAAATCAACTGTGTTTGTATCGCCCGAAATCACAACAGTCGTCTCGAGGGGCGTCACAGAACCGCCAACTCCCAACGGCTCTGGACCAGGCCTCAGGTCCCAACGGCTCTGGACCAGGCCTCAGGTCCCAACGGCTCTGGACCAGTCCTCAGGTCCAGTCCTCAGGTCCAGTCCTCAGGTCCAGGGAGTCAGGGTTTAGAGTCCCACGAGTGCGTCCATGAAACAGACAGAGGGACAACAGGTGAACAGCAATGCACAAACCAAATTTAAGAATTTAATTTAATATATTAGGTCTATTTATCCTGCAGTCCGTGGATGTGACGGGTTAAAAAGAGATTAAATAAACAGTTGGGAAAGAAAAAGTTTGGTGCCTCAGAAAGTCATTTAAAGTGCATTCACAGCAGTTGTGTACGGGCATTATAACGATGGTGAATTGAAAACAGTTGTGAATGAACATAAATGTGTGATTCTGTTGCATTATTGTCTTGTTTTTCTTTTTTTACAGGAAATAAGAAAGCAGGAGTGGACTGCCATTATTCCAAACTCTCAACTTATCGTCATCCCTTATCCTCACAATAAGCCGCGCAGGTACAGGCTCTTCCAAACATGTTGTATTTGAAATGATAGAAAATGCATTTGTGGGTTTTAAACGAGTATAGAAGGATTTTCCTGAATTTTAGGAAAGACTTCTCCACTTTTTGAACAAAACTCTCTTATTGGATTGACAATTGGGAGGAGCAAAGTGTTGATGATCCACCTGGAAGTAGAAAGTCCTCTTATGAACCTTTAATGTTTCATTGATGATGTAATCTTTGACTGGGGGAAAGTTCTCATATTAGTACAGTTATCACTACGTGTTGGATACATGGGGTTTGTTAGCAAAGATAAACAGTAAACTCTGACTTCACGATCCAGGAAACTGAGCGTTTTTCTTTGATCCTCATCTTCTTGACAGCTTTTAATTCAATACATTTGTGGCATGAAAAGCTTGAGTAAAACGACAGGAATAGAGAGACTTATTACAGCTCCTCACAGCAGCAGGAGAACCGTTGATCTGAATGTCATTTCAAAACGTTATAACGGACTTCTCAAAACAATAATGACCGCTGCCCTTTGGCAACGCACTCTCTGCTTGTAATTCAGATGTAGGTTACTCCGCAAGTAGTCTGGCTACTTCGTTGCTAGCCACGCTTAATCAACGCAAATACCAATCAATCAACACATTTAAATGTTAATCGGAGAATACATTAAACATATACATTCTTCACACACGTGCACGGAGGTTTTCAGAAGTATCTGTTAAGGTTTTCATGACAAAAATACTGTTTTAATGCAAGAAAAAGAGGTCGCGAAAAACCCGGAAGTAGATACCGGGACATTTTAGGAACATTTGCAGAGAATCGAATTATGGATTTAGGTTAAGTTTATGTTTGGGTCACTCACCGTTGATGTTCAGTTTTCATGCAGTTCCAGAGAGTTCTAGTTTGGAAGTTGCCAGCCTAACTGTTGCTAGCCTAACTGTTGCTAGCCTAACTGTTGCTAGCCTAACTGTTGCTAGCCTAACTGTTACTATCTTTTGGGCTGGAGGTCGTGGGTTCAAGCCCACCATGGGACCTACTCCAGCTGCTCCCACAAATGTCTACTTTCATCGGGTCCTTGGGCAAGACACTTAAGCCCCCGCTCAAAGACCAAGGCTGTTTCACCGCTGACAGAGCAGCCATCTTCCTGTGGACCCACCCCCTGCAGAGGATCACAGGGACTGGTGCTATGTGCATTGGGTGGCAGCTCATTGCCACCCCCTGACCCAAAAATTAACTAATGAAGGGGTTGAAATTGAATGAATGAACAAAAGAAATACATCATGCACAATTATAATGAAACTTTATAATAGCATAATATTTTTTTTGAATGATCAACTTTCATTCCAATTCAATTCGTTGCCGCGACCCGGCAACGGATGAAGCGGAAGAAGATGGATGGATGGATGGATGATCAACTTAATTTTTCATTTTTGCTGCTACTGGACACCTGAATGTCTCCTACTGCGATCAATAATGGATCTATATATCTGTCTAATGAACATACACACAGGAGCTGAAACCCTTGACTCATATGAACCATATTTCTAGATTTAATTCAGCAGGTGATGGAGATTCAATGATTCATAGAGAAAAATAGCTGCTCTTAACGCCTCACTGTAATTTATCAGGTCGATTGTTAAGCATCTTTGATTTACCAGAGTAAAAGTGCAAACATTTCAGCATCTTCACTTCAGCCGCAAATGATTTTCGACTTGAACATTAAGTGATGTTCAATTAGTGCCTTGTTTGTCTGCACCATCACTTACTCACGCCTGGTTTGCCCCCCTCTTCTCCCTCCTTCCAGTTGGAGCGCCAAGTTGTACCTGACTCCTAGCAACAGTGTGCTGCTGACGGCCATTGCTCTGATCGGAGTGTGCGTGCTGATCCTGGTCATCATCGGGATCCTCCACTGGCAGGAGAAGGTCAGAACACACTCGGCCGCTCATATAATGGTCTATTTAATGCTGCCCTTGCCCCGTTGATTTACTGCTGTAGCACGCTCATACCAGGGAGGGATAAGCGACTGAGCAGCCTGCTATAACCTGCTCCTGTGTACTTTTTGTACTTAAACTTCACTGCGGTCAGATTTCTGCTCCTGCCTCTTAATGTACATTTCTGGAAAAAGGCTGAGACAGACACAAACAGTCGTATTTACTATGGAATCTGTATTTCATTTTGATTAGGATACATATCATACACATATGTTTGACCCTGTACTATCAGCTGTTAAGTATATTTCATATTAAGTATAAAATATAAATACATTTAAAACGGTACCTTCCTGTGGAATATAGCCTGGTCTTACCACACCATCGTACTCATTTCATTGTGTAGGTCTGGGTTTGCTCCATTGAGCTTCGTTAACAGGTGGGAGGGGTTAACTCCTTTTGCAGATTGAAACCATTGGATCTGAGTTTACTGTGACTTATGTAATGAGCCTGAGTGAGTCGCTAGCATTTAGCCTAGCTTTAGCACTTAGCCTAGCATCTGCTTTGCCACTAACACAGCCCATTGGGAGTAGAGCCCCAATATCTTTGCCGAAACTTGCTAAACATTCCTCTTGGTCCGGCTTCAATTTCTTGATATGTGGAGCCGAACCAGAACAGACTACTTTACTAACGCATTCGCTGCCAAACTACAACCAGCCAATCGGCGCAGACTCTTGACGTCAAAACACCCGCCTCCCCTGCTCGCAGAATGATCGGATACAACTGAGGAAACCACAGCCGCTATAATCAGACCCAGACATGTCGGATGGCTAAGACCAGGCTCTGTGGAACAAGCATCACCAGTAATATTTAGTTGAGGAGCACAGTTGGACCGATGGGGAGGGGCCTCAGCTGTCTATCAAGGATTTGAATTAACTGCGTCCAATCAGGAGCCTGTGGGGGAGGGTCTATCTGGCTCTTGCGTTCGAAAAACATCTCTCCGTCTTCACAATTTGTAAAGTAACTGATCTTCACTTTACCTTTTTCTTAGTTTTCATTCAAATGTCAATGAAGAACAAAACACAAGTATTTTTTCATATTTACACCAAAGTAATTTATGTTTTAGCAACATATAAAAAAACACAAATCAACACATTCTGTTATTACTACCAAACTCAAAACTAGTAAACATATATTATTTGGCGGTTTTTTTCCTAGAAGTGTTATTGTCTACCGCTTTACCCGTCTGTGGCTGGCACGCTCCCCTTGCCATCTGTGATCCAAGGGTGTGTGCATAATGGGAGCTTGTGACGGAGAAGCAAGATGGCGAGTACAAGTCGTTTCACAAAATGGATCTAATTGCACTCCTTATTTACGAAAACAAAAAGAGCTGAACGGACTGTGTTTAAAATACATCTATATCGCTTCTCTCTGGAGGGCAGCGACTGACGTGTGAGACAAAATGGAAGATGGATAGATAGATACTTTATTGATCCGCCGTAGGAGAAATTCAGAAAAAAGTACAATATCTTCAGCGCTGCTTGGACTTGCTGCCGTTTCCAATAATAAGCTGATGTATTTGCATTGATTTAAAGGAGACATATTGATTCGTTTAGTTTAGTTTCTTTGTCACATACACATTATATGCAGTGAAATGCTTATATACCCACAGCAGAGGTTCAATCAATCAATGTTTATTTCTATAGCACAGTTCATACAGAATGCAACCCAAAGTGCTTCACATCGGCAACATTTAAAAGCAATTTAAAAACAATTTAAAAACAGACTGTAAAAACAAATACAAAAGACAGTTTAAGAAAATGAATAAATATATACATCAAAAATAAATGTATGATCCGATTTCTTGATGATCAGTCGTAGGCACGGCTGAAAAGAACCGTCTTCAGTCTGGACTTGAACATAGCTAAAGAAGGAGCCTGTCTCACACCTTCGGGAAGACTGTTCCAGATTCTAGGTGCATAGGTCTGGAACGCTGCCTCCCCATGTCTAGTCCCGACTCTGGGCACCAACAGGAGGCCAGTCCCCGCGCTCCTCAGAGTTCGAGCGGCTCGTACGGCACCAGCATGTTGCATATGTATTACAGACTTATATACAAGGAGAGCTGATTTAAAATTCACACAATAACAGATTAATAAAACACAGAAATGGAAGCAGAGACAGAGGTTTAGCAGCTTTAAGCTTTTAATCCTGTTACTATGTTATAAAGTACATACCTGTATATGTAATGTGTTACAGTGAAGCTAATTTTGTTTGAAGGGGGTAGGATTAAATAATATCTTTTTCCTACTCCCTTTCAGGCAACTATTTTGGTTTATTTATTTATTTTCCCTCTTATCCATGTTATCAATACTTAATTTATTTTGTTGTTGGAAACTATGATGGACAAGAGGTGCCCAATGTGACACGCCTGAAATTAATAAATAACATTTTTCCCTCATCAAAAACCTTTTCAAACCAGGTTCTATTATACTGAAGTAAAAGTGTTGCACAGGTTCTAAATACATAAATAAAATAAAAATAATTATTTTCTATGTATTATTTTAAGCAGACCTGGAGGGTTTTGAGATCCATCCACGCTAATGGTAACAAATATGTAACTTGGCCCCTTCAGTCTAAAAGCTCCTTTCTCAGCCCTGTTACAGGATGATGACATCACACTCAGAGGATCGGTGGTTGCAGCTTGTAATACTTTTCAAATTGTGAAAAAAAAACAATAGGTGTAATATCCATCCATCCATCCATTTTCTACCCTTTAATCCATTTCTGGGTCAGGGGGGTGGCAGTCAGAGATGCCACCCAAGTCTCATAGCACCAGCCCCTCACTGACCCTCTGCAGGTGGTGAGTCCAATAGGTGTAATATTTCTTCTTTAAATTATTTTCATGTCAGATACCATTATAGTGGAAATGTGTGGGAAAAACCATGTTATTTGAGTTCTGGGGTAAAGGGCTGGAGCCTATAGACTTGAACTAGACTTGGGCGGTCACGGTGGCTGAGTGGATAGCACTCTCGCCTCTCAGCAAGAAGGTCCTGGGTTCGAATCCCGGTCGGACCAGGGCCTTTCTGAGTGGAGTTTGCATGTTCTCCCCGTGTCTGTGTAGGTTTCCTCCGGGTGCTCCGGTTTCCCCTACCACTAAAAAAATATGTCCAATAGTTCTGGCATGTGCCTCCTGCACTGGCCCCGCTCCCATCTCTTTGTGGAGTGAGAGATAAATGCCCAAAATGAACAATTGTAAACCGCTTTGAGACTCAGATCTGCAGTGAAAAGGCGGTATATAAATAAAGATTACTAAAGATTACTACTACAACTAAAGCATGTTAATATATAAGGATTACTGTCAGTCTTCACTCCTCTGCAGGACCAACAGTCACACGTCAGCTTCCTAATCTATTCTCTGAAATCTTTACTTCACCTCAACTCTCCAATGTATTCCATTTCAGAACAAATGTGATTGAATATAGAGCAGGGCCTTGTAGCGACAGGAAAATGTGGCGTAAGCTTCTCCCTCACGTCGGCAGGTCAGAGGCTCATATTTACTGCTCGCTGACACTCTCCTTATGGATGATCCAGGGCAGGCGTGCGAGCCGGGGCGGGCACCGGGACTGACTTTTGGCATTTATATCTGTTTGCTCGGCTTCCTTTGGTATTTGCTGCTGTAATAATAAAAAGTCAAGTGTGAGGCTGAGGCATGGAGCAAGGACATCTCTGCCCATCCACCAAGCTAACAGGCTTTAATGTCAAATGCCCATCTTTCACATTGGATAATAATGTTAGGTAATGGACTCTAATATCCCTATTATTGTATAATTAATGCAGAAATGACTTGGAAATGAGTTGGACATGATTGACAGCTAAATAGCAGTGTTTCACCTGAAGGATATTTTTATCTGAAATTATGCTCTTCAGAGATGGAAACGCCCCGAAGGACCTTCCCACCTGGATTCCTTCTAAGTCTCTCCACCGTCATTAAATCTGTTAGACGGACACAAATCAATGCTTCGCTGCTTAATAATTATTTAGGCCTCAGGATGACAATTCCAAACTATCCCCTGGACAGTCAATTAGGGCAGGTTTTACCAGCAGCGCAGGCTATGCACGTCGCTTATTCAGGGAAGCAGGAAGCAACAGAGCAACATGTTTATAACAGGGTTTTAGGGATGTAAAAATATATAATTATCATGATGATGATGGAGCATGGGTGGTGATGATGATGCTGAGGATGATGATGCTGAGGATGATGATGCTGAGGATGATGTTGGTGGTGGTGTTGGCGATGAGGGTGGTGGTGAAACATGGTGGTGGCAGCATCATGCTGTGGGGATTGGACTGGGAAACTGGTCCGAGTTGAGGGAAAGATGGATCCATCCATCCATCCATCCATCCATCCATCCATCCTAAATACAGGGATATTCTTGAGCTAAACCTGTACCACTCTGTGCGGGATTTGAGGCTAGGACGGAGGTTGACCTTCAGCAGGACAATGACCACAAACACACTGCTAAAGCAACACTTCAGTGGTTTAAGGGGAAACATGTAAATGTGTTGGGCCGAGTCAAAGCCCAGACCTCAATCCAATAGAAAATCTGTGGTCAGTCTTAAAAATGACTGTTCAGAAGCGCAAACCATCCAACTTGAAGGAGCTGGAGCAGTTTTGCAAGGAGGAATGGGCCAACATCCCAGTGGTCAGATGTGGCAAGCTCATAGAGACTTATCCAAAGCGACTTGGAGCTGTGACTGCCGCAAAAGGAGGCTCTACAAAGTATTGACTTTAGGGGGGTGAATAGTTATGCACATTGACCTTTGACCACGAGCCTCATTCATTTATAACGAGTGCATTCTGAAGTCCACAGCGTCTAAACTAGACTGGTCCAAAATAATCCTCCCCTCAGCATTGACAGAATCTGGAACGTAGCGTTGGTCCGAGAGCGACTTTTGGACCATCCTGTGAAGACGTTTTCTACTGGATAATAAGCAGACATTCGAATGCACTGGATAATTCTGTTTCCGGGTACACCCCCACAGGCCAGGAGTCCGATTACAAGCACTGGAACACGCGCAGACACTCCTTACTACATAGAAAGATGACCTGAAGAATTGTGTAGTCGTTCTTTGCTCATGTGTATTAAAAATGTTGATATAAGCACAAAAATAAGCAAAATGTCAACCTCAGCCGGAGATGAGGGTCATATTGCCGCGGTCAACCAAGACGACAATGTTTGCCGCCGTTTTACAATTCCCTTTAAAGCTGCGTTTGCTGCACCCTGAGCTTATGCATACATCGTTGCATATTTAACATTAATTGTGTACCTCCAGCCCTTTCCGGATGAGCTTTGAAGACGCAGAGAGACAATGTAGATGGCACACAGAGTTCAGAATCCTGTGTATCCCGGATGTCTTTGCACCCCCTGAACATGTTGTAATGCCTGAAATGGTAACAATGCAACACTCTCTGGTACGAGACAAAAACCTGGTGGCAGCATGTTTGGAATCGACAGGGCGCCACATTCTGCGAAAGCTCGTTCCATAACTGCGAGATTTCACACTGCACCCACAGCCTGCTTTTGGAAAATATTAGCTCAGAATTTCCCAAGTGAATTCACCAGACTTCTGCAATCAAAGTGGAGATTGCAAACTGCCACCTCAGATTACAGGAGCATAACGGCGTCAAAACGGGTTTACTCGAGAAATGTAATATGTGCTGCGTGAAGATTATTTTAGTTTCATTCATTTTTATGGGTCTATTTTATACATTTGGAAAATATCTCCAAAAGATAGAAGTAAGTTAGGGCTGGAATTAACATTGATTCTTATTCATTGATTTTTTTGTTTGTTCCCAAAGTAACTAGTTACCAGTAAAAGTAACTATTGTTACTTTTTTGTTTGTCATGTTACTGAGCTTTAGCTGGTTGTAATTTAGCATAACTTCTAAGTAGGTTGATTGTTGCAACAACGCCACCCTACTTTAGTATTAGTATTATATGTTAGTATTAGTATTATGTTAGTATTAGTATTAGTATTATATGTTTAGTATTAGTATTATATGTTTAGTATTAGTATTATATGTTTAGTATTAGTATTATATGTTAGTATTAGTATTATGTTAGTATTAGTATTAGTATTATATGTTAGTAAATGGACCTGTCCTGCAGCACACAGCTAATAATAAGACAGGCCAAGGTGCCATTTAAATTTCATTTAAATTCATTTATTTGTATCCATTGATCAAACAAAACATATTATAAAACTTTCAATTGAAAGAGACTATTTTAAAATAATTAGTTCCCACACACACGACCCCTCCGTTCTGCAGCCCTGGCGCCTGACGGACCAGAACCAGGGAAAATACAGTGCGCAGGGCGCTCTGAGCTGGGCCGGAGCTTCTACAGCCGCTGGAATAATGTGATCGGAGCAATCGCTGCCCGCGTAAAGCTTGGTCTCCACGACAACGTTTTTATCTTTTTGACTGATATAGTTAAAATAGTGTGCATATCTCGGTAAAACCAATTCCTCTCCTCTGGCTCTGCCATGTTGCTTTACAAACAAACTCACTCATGTGCTCAACGTGACGCACGCAGGCACGTAGCGGTACTGCAGCTCTCCGCTGCCGGTAACGAAGTATTTCGGTAGTAACTGTAATATAATGAAACTTATTTTCATAATAACGCGTTACACTTCTACGTTTCTCAAATTGTAATTTTGTGACAGTAACTACACCCAACACTGACGGTGACAGTGACACAGGTGAAACACATGAGGGCGGGGCAGACAATCAGAACAGGAAGTCAAACTGAAATGAAACCACAAAGAAATATGTCAAAATAAAACCTCATTTAAGAAATTATAAACACAATTTTATCCAGGCTGCATAGAAAACTGAACTTTTGTAATTACTAATTTGTTGTATTTTTGTTCTATATTCATTGTTTTTTTACAACCAGCAGCTAAACCACAAAAAAAAATCATGTATTTTGTCCTGGTTTTATGTTAATTACAAGATATGTTAATTACCTTTCAGTGTTCAAGCCCGTGGATGTTTAGCACATATCTCCCTCAAGCGTCTGTGTTTTGTTCAAACCCATTATCCGCCGATGCTTCAGCCAAACCCACCATGTTCACTTTCTATTTTAGTAATTGTCTTTTTTAATTCTTTAACACTGTTTGTTGTTGTGTGTTTTCAGAAAGCGGACGACCGGGAGAAGAGACAAGAGGCGCACCGCTTTCACTTTGACGCCATGTGAAGAGAGAAAGGGAATGTTTCGGACTTTTGATTTTTAACTCCGCACTGTTTTTTTTGTTTTTTTACTCCAGTTCACGCAGGCCAATAAATCGGTTTTCGTTTTCCCACAAAACCTTTCTTTTGTGGTATTTTCTGTCCTCAAGTCTGACGTTGAAAAATGTATGTTCCTGTATTTATTCATCCCGATCTTAGAAGTACAGAGGCAGAGAAATCCTGAAGGAGTTTGGTCTCAAGACGACTGTATTCCCGAAAACACCAAACGTAGTCATTTTCACCACTACTTTATTCACACGACCTTTTGTTAAAGTCGCAATATGTAAGATTCATGTAGTCATCATTAAAGGGCCCTAATCTGTCATCATTAAAGGGCCCTAATCTGTCATCATTAAAGGGCCCTAATCTGTCAAAAGGCGTTAATAAAACCTGCTCTTTTCCAATACTTCTTTAACTGATGACAGTAGTTCAGAGATATTTGGATTTTAAAATTGTGTTTACAGCCCCTAAATCTTATTTTCATTTCAATCTCCACCGTTTCACCAATCAGAAAGTCTGTGATCCGGGCGCCAGAACTCACCGCGTGGAGCTAATCTCACTGGTAAAGTACCATGTGGCGCAGAACTAAAAAAGGTCTCGTTATGATTCTCAAATCATTAACGACAAAACAAGGAATAAAACCAGGATTTCTATCTTTGTGAAAAAGGTGTTGGTTATAGATTTGTTGTTGACAAAACTCTTGTCTATTCAGCTGTTATGGTCCCAGCTGGATTCGTCTGCATATCTGGCAACCTGAGTCAGGGAGAGTGGGAGAGGCTGCAGTACCACTTTTGGCCACATGTTTACACACAGCTCCTTTAAACCTATGGAAATGAAGCCTATTTGTCTCGTCACTGTAAAATTGGCACCTTTTGTACGTTTGCTACTTGAATTCTGTTTTGTCTTTTTATAATCTCTTCATTTTTTGCATTTGTTTGTGTTGTTTGACTTTGAGCACCGAGTTTGTGAAGAATGTCCGACTGGCCAACTCTCGCAATGATAAATTACCCTTACATTTTCTGCTCAGATCTCTCCTGCCAGACTGCGATGCATGAGAGGAGTGCCAAATCATTAAAACCACCATTTGCTCCTGAAAAAGGCTGTATTACAAAATGTATTAGTATTTTTCCTCACACAAATGAAGCTGATTTTGGAATCCTTGTTTATTGTGTAAGGAGAGCTCTTGTATTTCCAGGGGGTTTGCACTTTTTAAACTAATAATTTACTGTGGGCGTGTGTAATTTATTTTGTACTGCGATGTTGGTTTGCAAATGAGTGTAAATTACTAATGTGTCTGTGCCGTCGCTGTGAATAAAAATCCTGGTAATTAGATAAATATGGTGCTTTTCAGTTTTTTCACGATGAATACATTCATAGAACAAACTCTTTATATAAAACATTTAGTATAGTTTAGTCATTATTACCAGAACAGGATTAAAAAATAAACAGTTTGAACAAGGGGTTGGACTATAGACGTTTTTCGACACACACACACAGGCACACACACGCACACACACACAGGCTAAAACACTCTCTGATCCTACACCTCTCCTCCGTCACTTGCTCTGTGCTCAGGGCATCACTCTCTTTCCTCCACATACTTCTTGAGTATTCAGAATCTTATTTTAACATGTTTTTTTTTCACCTGTATCTCCTCGGTCTGGGATACACATTGATTTTTAAAGTATTTCTACATTTAGACACATTTAATTACATAGTTTTTGCTCCCTTTGTAATTACGGTGAGCACATTAGTGTCACATTAGTTTAGCTATTTAGAAGTGACTCATGCCCTACTATTTAAATCATTTTGTTTCTATGATCAGTGGCTTGGAATGATGTCTGTAGTGGACATTTGATACAAACCGAATGGCCTTTTGATTACAAGCTGTAAATGAGGTTTAGATGTTTCTTAATCTTAACACAATATATTATAATTCATATTGTATATATTTCGATAGATGCCTGAAACGTGTTAAAATGACCGCATTGGGGGATCATGTTGTCATGAATGTGTCTGCAGACCTCTTGAATATTTCACTGGATCTCCAAGGGCCCCTCTATTCCCTTCCAGTTTGCAAAGGCTCCATGGCATTGCTCTTTGCTCCTGATGTATAGACCAAGCATTGGGAGGTGGGTGTGACGAGGTTTAATTTGCTGGAAAGCTGTCCAAATGGATGGTGTTGTACCGGAAGCGAGGTCTTTAACACAATAATAAAACGTGTCTTTGTCTGTGATGTCTACTCCGTGGAACGTTTAGGTGTGAATTGTATTGTAATTACATGATCTGAGACCTTACAGTGTGTCTCCTCTTGATGTGAATTTGCCAGAATAACCCAGCTCCTCCCAGAGCATGTATTTTGTATTGAGGATGTGAGGCTCGTCCATCTGCTTGACTTGACAGTAGTAACGACAAGCGCGTAAAGTCAGAAGCGCAGCGCCCACGGCTGATTCTGGTCAGAGCGTGTTCCAAACTCTCCTCCTCCTCTCACGGCTCCCTCCTCCTCCTCTGTGGTCCCTGTCCTTCTCCATTTGCCTCCTCACTCGGTGTCTTGGATACGGTGGTGTGTGGAGCGTGGATCCTCTCATCCACATGTGATCCCGGTGTAGTCTCCTAAAGCCCCCGGTCTCCCGTGACTCCCGGAGCGTGTCTCTGCCGCGGGAGCGCTCTGAACACATCGGTACTGCGGAATGGATTTACTCTGCTCCGGACTAAGTTGGATTGTGTAAACACGGACCTGGGACATACAATGGCAAAGGGACAGTGCTGTTAGACAGATCTATAAAGCTGGAATCAGACCGCAGAAGGAAATGCACAGAGGTGAGTCTGATCATCGACAGCGCGGTGGGTGGTTTGCGTAAAAAGAGACTGTGCCATTTGGCACCAGAGGACTGCTCCTTCAGAAGAAGAGGTGAAATACATGTGTAGACAGAATATGTGACCCATGGAATACTTTATCTGTACGGGATGATTCTATAATGCACGTTATTGTGAGACAAAAGCATGTCCCCAACTATACAATAATATTCAGGAGATCTCTGATGTGTCCAAGTCCAAATGCTTCTGAGAAAACATGAGTGGATTCTCTGACTTCAGGAGGATTGCACAGATTCTATATTGTTTTATGAGGCAAACAGTGGGGTTACTTGGCATGTTCAGCCTATGGCACAAGTGCATTACGCGTAACGTGATGCTTTTGATCAAGTGGAGTCCACATCGGTAGCAAACACGCAGATGGTGCTCACTGTGGCTCCGCTGCCTCCATCCGCACCTGAGGCACGCTCCGTGGGTTCAGCGGAGCGCGCCCTGGTGCCGCACGAACAGGGTGTTAAAAGACCGTTCTGTGTCCTACACGAGCTGTGTCCACGGGAGACAACCAGACATGTGCAGGACCCGGGGATGCTGAAGGCTTTAGTTTGGAACAACCATGGATCAGTGAGTGGGGCGAAATGATTTCATGAGACAGGGACTCAGTGGGTGAATCATGTGTGCCAAAATGACCCAGAGTGCATGAGGGAGGCAATTTTACTATCACAGATTCTCAACTATCCCATTCTCTTGGCCAACACACAATATACACTGTCTTGTCTAGATATTCACACTATCCTATTCAAACTAGTGCCATCATCCACTATATGTTCTGACAATATAAAACTATTGAATTCTAATACGAGTTGCTCTGTGGGCGGTCTGCATTTTGAGTTCCTCCGCTTGCAGCAGTCACAGACTTACACTGCACATAATCAGCATAATTGTGCCCTGGAGCTTTCATTTGTGCCATGCTCAAGTATTGTCATCTCCTTCCAATGCTCCTGCTCATTTTAGAGGTTGCTTATTAGCTCCCCCACTCTTTATCTCACCCTCCCTCTTCCACCATCACTCCTGGATGCCATTATGCAACCTGCCAGCCCCCCCCCCCCCCCCCCCCCCCCTCTCTCTCAAAAGAACCTATTATGAACTCTGTGGGGATCAGGTCGAGTGCAGCTTATCAGGGCAAGACGGTGTCAGGAGGAGGAAGCAGAGAAATGCATTCCCTCAGTCACAGATATGATTGTAATGCAGCATGTTCCACCTATTGTCTGTAGCCTGGTTCTGCCCATATGTCTCCTCATCAACGCCGCACGCCCCATAGCCTCTAATCCCATTTATGCTGCTAATACTTAGTGTTTCTGCTGCTTAGGGGGAGCAGGATTAATGTCGGAATATAGCACTTTGGATAAATGCGCGTGTTTTGCAAGTTGCTGTACCACTAATACATCTGTAATGTAGATGTCTTTTTTTACCGAGAGTTTTTACATGGTCTGGGGATGTAGAGGCACTTTCTCACAATGTGGGCTTATGCACAGATGCTGATACTGTTATTGAATAATCTATAGTAGCCATTCCCAAACTCAGTAACACCGAGGCCCCCTTAAAAATCTGACGGGTCTGCGTGGCCCCCCAAAATAATAACCAAGAAGACAACATTAAGAATAGGCTCTTCTGGTTATTTTATTTTAGGGAAATAGCCTCTGCTACAAACATTGTAATACAAAAATGATTACAGTGGATTATTCAAGTCAAATAATGAACACAAATATTTTAATATTACAAACAAAACATTATAAATTTAACATTAAATGATGATTTTTTTTTTTTTTATGACCTCCCGCGGCCCCCCTGCAGTACCCTCGCGGCCCACCAGGGGGCCGCGGACCCCACTTTGGGAGACACTGATCTATAGGTTCAAGTGAGTGTTAGTTCTGTGGCTAGACTCACATCCTCCAGATAGGGCCATGATATTGATCTACACCCAGAACATACTATTCATAAAGAAGGTTTGTTTACTCGGTCGTACAAATTATTATTATTATTTGACATAAAAACGGCATTCAAAAAAAGGACGGTGTTACTAAAACAATGCATCTTATGTCAGTAGTGGACGTGCTTTAACATAGATTTACAAACGCAATTGTGATCGAAGGGATTAGGCTGAAGTATGACTTGTTATTGCCTAATCCAATTCATTAAGTAAAGTCTCCAAAGTTTGGGGCAAAACCCTTTCAAAATAGAAGCCAAACTAAATTTCAAGATCAGGAGAAAATAATAAAAATAAAATAAACAATAGGACGAAAAGGAACGATTATAACATATTAATCATTTGAGAAAACAGTTACATTTTAACAATATTATATACAAATGTGTCCTGGTTTTACTTACAGTTAAAAACACGACTTGTTTTTTGGGTTTTTTTGTAATTGGAAAAGCTGTTAGAGATTGGTATCGTATGAAAAGGCTTGAACATTTTCTGATCACGTTAATTGGCTTTCACAGTAGTTTATAATCCTTTCCCGACGCCACCTCCTCCTCCTGACGAGATGTTTGACTTCCATCGACACACACACCGTAGTATCATAGTGTGCGTGTCATTGACCGTCCCCAGCCCTGTACATACAACACTATTCATTACTAAATCCACTTCAGTCTCTTTATCCTGTCTTGAGCACACTTTTCTGAAAAATCAATACTATCAATGTAACATGCTGCTTATGAATAGTCTGTACACGACACAAGTGGCTATTAAATACTTTCGACACGGTCACACCTAACGCTTTTCTGTCTCTTTTCGCAGCGTGGATTCTCTTCTTCCTCATCGAAGAAGGTTTAGCTCTTGCACAGAGGACTAAAGGTAAATCACAAACCTTCAAAAAGCTATTATAGAAACGGATTCCCTCGTTAAAGTTTCTCCCACATCCTGACATCTCTGTGTTTTTGCTCTCCAGACGTCCCGAGCGAGCATGCAGGCCAGGTCGGGAGTCAGAAAGAATGCGGCACGTGGGTCCGCAATATCAACGGAGGGGTGTTCACGTCCCCGAACTACCCCACCACCTACCCACCCAACAAGGAGTGTGTCTACATCCTGGAGGGTAGGTCCTTTTGTTCCGCGGCCCTGACCCTGTCTCGTTCACTCATGTCATTATTGAGGACCAGCAGCCATGTGGAGAAGAGCCTGCCATTTTGTGACTGAAAGCACGGCCGTTCTCTGTTTTGGTTTGACTCTTTATGGAGCTTAAAGAAGGAAAACTAGCATGTTCTGTACTCGTTTAATGTCCTGTGGAATAGAGAGATTTGTCCTTTCATTTTAAACCTACATCTTTTGGCCCAGAGAGGTTTTGTGATACTAGAGTAGCTGTGACTGGCATCATTTAGATTTTTGATTTTACAATTATTTCTTGCTCAAAAGAGACAAATGTTTTACCTTTTTAACATGTTCGCTCACATCCTGTCCTTTTGCACAACCTGCGTGATTCCTTCGATGCCAAATGTGATGGGCAGCGCTGTGGCTGAGTGGTTAGCACTCGGTTTTCAGCAAGAAGGTCCTGGGGTTTGGATCTCGATCGGAACAGGGCCTTCCCGAGTGGAGTTTGCATGTTCTCCCCGTGTCTGACTAGATTTCCTCTGGGTGCTCGGGTTTGCCCTACCACTAAAAACATGGTTAATCGGTAAAATCCTCCAGCTCTGGTCCTGGATTTGGTCCACGAGCCTGAGTTTGACAGACCAGCTCTGCGGGGATCAATGAAGTGCATCTTTACCTTTACCAGAATATAACTGAAGCATAAATGTTGTGAGTAATGTTATTAAACTGTTGTAATCATACAGATGGGGAAAATATTAAAGCATTTATTATAATGCAATTGTTGTATATCATATCAAAACACCCAGTATGTAAAATATATATTTTTTTAAATCGTATGTATTATGGCTATAGGCCAAAACTTGATCCGAGAAATTGAAGTATGTGCCAACATTATTTTGATAAGAATAATAAATCTTTAATCAAGACTCAAGCTCCATATAATCCTATAGATTGCCATTGATCAGTATTGTTAATGAAATACCCATTACGTATTATGTTCATTTTTGGCAATGTTTTACCATAACATAACATAGCAATATCATATAAAAAGATTATGGATAAACGTACCTTCTTCTTCTTCTCCCATTAAGAACATTTGTCTTTATAGTGGAAATGAGTAATCTAGGCTTTACAGGCTAATGAGAGCAATGCTACTTTCCTGCCAAAAGAAATGAGACGAACATCTGCTAAACAGCTGAGCTATGGTGGCATCATGTCACTGAAATCGCAGCCATTTACCACAAGCATCACATCCATCAGTAATTTGCTGCCCTGCCGGATGGAGTGCATGATGGGAAGACTCATTAGCGTCTATCGAAGATGAGCTCTGGGATCGCATAGTTCATCATATGTAGATCAACTGTTTTCCCCATTAACTTAAAGGCTTTTTAAAAATAATCACAAATGCAAATGGGATATGTCTGCTGCTGAATGCGCTCCCAGCTTTGGATTGTGTTCACGTACAGCTCAAGGGCTCCCCCTGTGGACAAAAGCAGGTCAGGCCGGCTGCTGCTCTGTGCATCATGTGGATCGAGTGGACTGGATTCTTGTGTTGAAACTTGAGCTGTGGAAAATCTAGTTCTTTGTCCTGCTCCTCACAGAAAGAGAGACCTTGACGTTTTCTGTAAAGGCCGTTTTATTTTCCTTTAAGAGAATGCTAATCCTAAGTTAATTGTTTAGTTTTGGTACAGGCACCTATGCGTTATTTTTGGTGTGTTTTGGTTGGGGCCAGGTAAAGTGCAGTTCCTTTTAGAGACAGTAGGGGGAGTTTGTGGGTAGTCATGTGGAAGCTGACCTGGGTTTAGGCCCAACCGTTTTATGACCAGCTGTTGTGGCTACAGCCCATGCTCCCAGTGGCAAGCATCAGACCCTCGCTGATTCAGGCAATGGAGTTAAGTGTCTTGCCCAGGGACAGAACGGCAGCAGACATTAGTGGGAGCAGTTGGAGTAGGTCTGATGGGGGGATCAAATCCACAACCTTCAGGCTCAATGCAAGGCCAACGCTTTACTAACTGAGCCACTCTCGCCCCTTTAGCCTCAACATTTTCAGAGTTAACCCTTGATAGTCCACTTTAGTTCATCAGACCTGACCTGGGACCAACAACCTGGATTTAAAAAACTGGATTTGAGCTGGATTGACTGGATTCTGGATTTTAAAATGTTTTTATGAACGTTTTTAATGATTCACAGCTGCATTTTATGTGGAATGTTGTGACACAATCATAAACAAATGTCAGTAAATAACAATAGAATCAACGACTGGATTCCAGACGGTCTGAGGTTTACAACAAGGTGTAGCATGACTGTGTTGGTGGAGCTGAAGTTGGTTGGATGACACTGTGAAAGGGCCTCAATGGCGACTTTGTGTTAGCAGCAGAGGGCCACATAATATTGCACAGAGGGCCGCAGATGGCCCGCGGGCCTGAGTTTGGACATGTCTGACTTAGTGTTTATCTGCGGTTGCATTGATATCACAGGTTTAAATGATAGAAACACAAAGCTGAGTATTTATTTATCCTGAAGAGAAACGACTGGTGACAAAGTAGAGTTTAAGAATGAAAATATTAGATAAAGTTTATAACCATGACATTTATGGACATGGGTTCAAAGCTCACCTCTTCCTCAAAGCACATGACTCTTAGTTTCAGCTTTGTACAATTCTTTCCTGCTTTTAGTTTTTTAGTTTTGTGTGTCTGTCTGAATGTGTGTGTGTGTCTGTGTGTGTGTCTGAATGTGTGTGTGTGTGTGTGTATGTGTGTGTGTCTGAATGTGTGTGTGTGTGTGTGTGTCTGAATTGTGAAGCGTCTTTGAGTTTTTGAAAAGCACTGTATAAAACCGATGTATTATTATGGGTTAAACTGCGACACTGTGGACCAATGGTTCTTACATTTGTGGTTCATGAATACATTTCAATTACATTTATTCTTGTATCGCCCCAAATCACTACAGTAGTTATCTGGGAGGACTTTAAAACCGTTTAATTTGCAAACACAGATCAGAGAATCAAACAGTTAAAGATAAAAACCACACAGAGACATCGGTCGATAAGAGGCAGAGACCGATGTCTGTGATTGTTGATAAAAGTCCATAAAAGTGTTGAGTGTGGAGTGTCCTGGATCCTCCGACCTTTGACCCTCCGGCTTCAGGACAAACTAAAAAAAAACTCTAAAAACTCTAAACCAAGTGTGTGAGAAGTAAACCTCGGGAGCCTGCAGTGAGCGACATCCTTTGCTTCTCCAATCTGCTCTTGGTGCATTGACATTCTCTGACTCCGATGACTGCAGAGGGGACACTGATGACTGAAAATGTTGGCCAAAACCATGGACCTATTATAATAACTGGATAGGGTTTTACAGCTTGTAGCTGAATAACTCATGTGCTCGGAGGATTCTCGCGGTACTGCAGACTGAACCAGACTAAATTCACGTGGGCTACCCAGAAATTTTCCCCATAGAACTCAATGCATATTAAAACAGCTCAACCTCAGCTGACAGAGAACCTGACAGAGAACCTGATAAAGAACCTACAGCTTTCATAAAGGTCGGTGTTAGAGCTATTTGTCTATTTTTGATTCTAATTATGATCTACTTTAGTTAATTATTTTTCTTAGTTTGCAAAGTTAATTTTGGGTTAATTATTGCTTATGTTAATTTAATTTGGTCACGAGGATAAATAGGGCGATGGGGGGGAGGGCGCGGTATAGAGGCGTTTTGGGCATATGGTTTTTTACCAGCGAGAGGAGAGGCTGCAGTTCTGCATGTTTGCCATTTGCTTGGAGAATAAACCCACCAAAAATGCAATTTTGTTTGGACATTATGTTTTCTCTATCCTGCGTAAAGCCAACCTGAAAACGCCTTAGTGGCCTTTTGATTTGTTTTGGTTTAATATGGACATGGTTTGAGTTATGGACAAATCGCCACTACAGTCAGATTTTGTGGGGATGTTAGTATCCCTTGTCGTCCTGAACTTTTTTTCTTCTTAAATCCTTTGGTTTTGTTTAAATCCACACTTTAGTGCCACAAACTCTGCTCGTCTGGCTCTCGCTCTAACTCCCGCTCTGATGAACTGCTCTGATTGGTCAGAGCCGAGCCCCTCTGTGCACGTGCGAGAGACCCTCTGTGCACGTGCATGAGACCCTCTGTGCACGTGCGTGAGACCCGGTGTGAGACCCACACACGCGTGTTTGGCGCAACGCATTATGGGAGATCATCCACTGCACAGAACCAGGAGGACCAGACGATGCCCAAATACAGGAGAGTTTCCCATAGATCTTTGAGAGTTTCCCATAGATCTTTGAGAGTTTCCCATAGATCTTTGAGAGTTTCCCATAGATCTTTGAGAGTTTCCCATAGATCTTTGAGAGTTTCCCATAGATCTTTGAGAGTTTCCCATAGATCTTTGAGAGTTTCCCATAGATCTTTGAGAGTTTCCCATAGATCTTTGAGAGTTTCTCATAGATCTTTGAGAGTTTCCCATAGATCTTTGAGAGTTTCCCATAGATCTTTGAGAGTTTCCCATAGATCTTTGAGAGTTTCTCATAGATCTTTGAGAGTTTCCCATAGACCTTTGAGAGTTTCCCATAGACCTTTGAGAGTTTCCCATAGATCTTTGAGAGTTTCCCATAGACCTTTGAGAGTTTCCCATAGACCTTTGAGAGTTTCCCATAGACCTTTGAGAGTTTCCCATAGATCTTTGAGAGTTTCCCATAGACCTTTGAGAGTTTCCCATAGACCTTTGAGAGTTTCCCATAGATCTTTGAGAGTTTCCCATAGACCTTTGAGAGTTTCCCATAGATCTTTGAGAGTTTCCCATAGATCTTTGAGAGTTTCCCATAGATCTTTGAGAGTTTCCCATAGACCTTTGAGAGTTTCCCATAGATCTTTGAGAGTTTCCCATAGATCTTTGAGAGTTTCTCATAGATCTTTGAGAGTTTCCCATAGACCTTTGAGAGTTTCCCATAGATCTTTGAGAGTTTCCCATAGATCTTTGAGAGTTTCTCATAGATCTTTG